AGTAGTGTTCAACAGGGATCCCAAGTTCACTTCTCGATTTTAGAATAGTTTTCAGCAAGCCATAGGAACGAAGCTATCCTTTAGTACTGCATTCCATCCCCAGACTGATGGACAGTCATAAAGGATAATTCGTACACTTGAAGATATACTCCGAGCTTATGTCCTTAACTCTAGGGGCCATTGGGATGATCATTTACCCCTGATAGAGTTCGCCTACAACAATAGGTACCAAACGAGTATTAGCATGGCTCCGTATGAGGCGTTATATGGGCGCCCATATAGATCACTGATTTGTTGGAAAGAAGTGGGCGATAGAAAACTGTTCAGCCCAGATCTGATAGAGGATACTACATCTAAAATAGTTAAGATTAGAAAGAACATTCAGATGGCTCAAAGCAGGCAGAAGAGTTATGCGGACACTCGGAGGAGAGATTTAAAATTTGAGAAAGGCGATCGGGTATTCCTTAAGGTTACTCATTTCAAGAAAATCAGTAGATTCGGCAGGATGGGGAAACTAAACTCTTGATTTATTAGATCATTTGAAGTCTTAGACAAAATTGGTACTGCCGCCTATAGACTAGCACTGCCTCCAAAACTTTTCAAGGTCCACAATGTATTTTATGTGTTCATGCTATGTAAGTACAACTCGGACCCCTCTCATGTCTTGGCCCACAAGTCTCTTCCACTCCAAGATGATCTATCCTACGAGGAAATACCAGTCGATATTGTAGATCGAAATAGTAGATTACTCCACAATCGGAAAATCTCCTTTGTAAAGATCATATCGTAGAACCGTACACCGAAGAAGGCTACATGGGAGCTAGAATCAGACTTTAGAGTCCAATATCCCCAGCTGTTCGATTGAGAGTGAGAGATAAATTTGAGGAAACAAATTTCTTTTAAGAGGGGGAGAGTTGTAACACCCACCTAAAACATTTTTTTATTTTTTATTAATAAATATAATTTTTTAATTTATTTTATTATATTTTATTTTATTTTCATTTAATGGAAAAAATTGAGTAAATTGATAAAGGATTAAATTGAAAATAATTTTAGGAAAAAGAGGTAAAAATTTAAATTTTGGGGGTATTTTTGAAAGAAAATTTGAAAATCAGGAGTCAAAACGTAATTTAGAAAAATTTTGTCATGTCAGACTGGTCAGCAGCCCCGACCAACCAGGACGCGCCAAGTGGCAGAGGCACTGACGCGGGAGGTCACTCGGGGGGAGCCACGTGCACGCGATCGAATAGCTGAGGTCTGTTCCCGTGCGCATGGACAGTCCAGAGTGAATCGCGCACGAACGGCCCAAACTAAAAAAGAGGTGAAAATTTGGTTCTGGGAGTATTTTTGAAAGAAAATTTGAAAACTGGGAGTCAAAATGTAATTTAGAAAAATTTTGTCATGTCAAACTGGTCAGCAACTCCGACCAACCAGGACGCGCCAAGTGGTAGAGGCACTGACACAGGAGGTCACTCGGGGGGGAGCCACGTGGGCGATCTACGTACACTCGATCGAACAGATGATGTCCGTTCCCGCGCGCATGGACGGTCCAGAGTGAATCGCGCACAGACGACCCAAATTGAATCCTGATGAACGACCCAGATTCACTCTTTATTTAATCGCGATCGGACAGTCCAG